ACGTGGGCGTCCTTTACGGGCCATCACCCTGAAGCTCGTCCGCTTCGTCTGACGTAAGTTGCTAGGGCTCGACGGGGGCGTCGAGAAGTGGTCTGGGCTAACTGTCAGGCAGCCACAAGCAGTGCGCCGCCTGAAATCTACGGTTTTGGGACTTAGGCGCAAAGACGAGTCTGAGTTTTGATGGTACTCTGGTTAGACCAGCCAGCGGAAATTATGGGAGTTCAGGGCGCCATTGATTTTGGGAGCGCTGAACCTTACGGGTGACCCTCAAAGATGGCGAGATGGGTGGTCGCACTCGGCACATCAACGGACCGTCATTTCCGGCCGTTCAGAGGGTTAGACCCGGATTGGCCTGCCACGGGGAGGCATCGCGGGAACTGACCTCGCAGCCACATTTTTTGCGGCATACGACCGGGGCCGAAATGAGGCCTCAATTTTTTGTCTATTTTAGTACCATAATTAAAGATTGGGAAAAGGGATTACGACAAGTAGGGGAGAAGGAAAAAACATAATATCCCTTAATTTCTTTATTTTTTACGGCATTTAATTCAACGGGGAATACCCTTGTTATTTTATGTTCCCGGCAATGAAATTAAAAACATAGAAAAAGATTAAATATGGTAAAAGAGAAAAGAAACAAAAGGAATCCGGCCATTTATTTAAACTTTCTTGGAATTTTATTTTGGGGATCTTACGGTTAATTTACTATTTCCAACAATAGAATTAAGGAAAGGGAAGAATGATGAAAAATATGAAAGGGACGGGAACCCATGATTATTAGGAGATTGGCCTAATTTCGCCTCGATTACCCGCCATTAGCTCTGACCCTGGATTGAACATTTTCCCCGGATTTTAACAGTTTTCACTATTGCCGATGGTCGAGGTTCCCTGCGTCGCTTTCCCTGGTTTGCTTGATTACTAACATTACCGCATTTGGAATGTTCTGAGAGCGGGAGTCGCATAGACAACATGGGGTGGTGCTACCTTGGGTCGACTATGGTGTTTGGTTTAGTACGGATACGAGGGTTGTTACGGAGTGGCTTCGTACTACGGTGTCTGGCGTGCTTCAGGTGCGGTATGGGCCCGGTGACAGTTGTTTCACTACGGTGACTTATTTTCAGGTTTGGGACAGGTACGGTGATTTATTCTCAGGACCGGGGCTACTACGACAGTTATTCCAGGTTTGGAACTTTGGCGGCAGTTTGTTTTCAGGTTCGGAAACGTTGCGGCATTGTATATCAGGTTCGGGACAGTTACGGAATTATCATGACATGGTTGAACGGGTTCGGCATCCTCGTGGCACAGCAGCCCGGTACTGGATTTTGGGTCTGGTCAGGTTCGGTGGCATCGTGGTGTTTCGTTTCAGGATCGACGCCCTCACGACGATTTATTTCAGGTTCGGGACCTCT